ACGAAAATTAGGTGTCCATTTACTTGTGACCACTCAGTGTATATATATATATACGCGTGTGTGGGGAGGAGAGGGCTGCACGCTTACTTGTTACACTGTAAGGTGTACACGTGGAGAATTACATGTAGATGCCTGAAAACCAAGTAAATCGCGTTTAAAAAAACGTTTTCCAAACGAATCTATATAAATATAATAGTACTGTCTGTTGTCTGTGGTATATCAATGTAACTACTTCGCAGGATGTGGATGAATATTCACCAAAATTGGTATGGAGGTTAATTAGGTTCATGTGGGGGGTACATACACATTTTCAGTTTTGCATTTTTTTATGGGCGTTTTTGCGTTTTTTACCACTACCTCACCTCCTGTGGACGGATCTTCAGCAAATTTGGTTTGGAGGTACATTGGGTTCATGGAAAGATACATACAGATTTTCAGTTTTGCGTTTTATGGGCGTTTTGGCGTTTTTTACCACTACTTCACCCCCTGTTGATGTATTTTCACCAAATATGGTATGAAGTTTTGTTGGGTTCATACGAAGATACATACAAACTTGCTGTCTTACATTTTATCTTTTGCAGTTTTTTGGGGGCGTTTTTTCGTTTCTTACGATTACATATAAGGGAAGAAACTTTTCATGTCCTAAGTTAACTTTTCATTGATCATGAACTTACATAACTTTTGTCCAGGGGACGGGTACTCTAGCTAGTCTATATAAATATAATAGTACTGTCTGTTGTATGCCCATGTAACTACTTCGCAGGGTGTAGATAGATCTTCACCAAAATTTGTATGGAGGTTCATTAATCTATGTGGGGATACATACAATTTTTCAGTTTTCCGTTTTGTGGTTTCTATGGGCGTTTTATGTTTCTTATCCCTACTTCGCAGGGTGTAAATGGATCTTCACCAAATTTGATATGGAGGTTCATTGAGTCCATGGGAAGATAGATATAAATTTTCAGTTTTGCATTTTGCGGTGTTTATGGTTTTTACCACTACCCCACCTCCTGTGTATGGATATTCACTAAATTTGGTATAGAGGTTTATTGGGTCCATGCATAGATACATGTGTAAAATATTTTTTTATTTCATCCAACATTTCGCCTTTGTGGCTTCATAAGGGAATATACACAACAGTGAAACTGCAAATTTGGCATGAAGGTTTGTTGGGTGCATGCGTAGATACATGCAGATTTTATGGTTTCACATTTTATGTTTTGCAGTTTTTATCGGCGTTTTTGCGTTTTCTACGATTACATATAAGGGAAGCAACTTTTCGTGTCCTATGATAACCTTTCATTAATGATGAATTTGTGTAACTTCCGTAATCCAGCTAGCATATAATAACTTAT